GGTTCCCCCGTTAATTGAATCGATTCCCGGCGATTTTTTTCGGCCCGGCGATCGCGTGCTGCGAATTAATCATCGCGGTGTCGACGGCGGCGGCGGAATGAACGTCGAAAACCGTTTCGGTCTTAATTAATCGCGGGATCCGCGCGGCCGTGAAAAAACGGCCGGGACCGGGACGCGGCTCCGCTCCGCTCGGTGTAATTGAAACATCGCGGGCACTCGAAGAGATCGACCGGTGACACGCGATCCTCGCGTTAACGTTCCTTCCATTTAAACTCTGAAGGAGTTCCGCGCGCGATCACGGGAACTTTAAATACCGGTGGCAGGCGAGACTTTATGGGTGAGCTGATGGGGAACGAATAGGACTCCGTTATTGGTCGTTACGATCTGTCTGGCAAAAACCTGCGCGGATCGCGAGATATAAATCGGGAAGCGTTCAAAGTTTCTCGGTAAGTCGTATTTGGGAATGATCTTAGGAATGAAATCTAATCGGAATGATGTTCCAGGGTTTGCAGATTTCCTGATACTGGTATATATTACTACATTTACTGTTTTAGAGGGGGAATCCCTTTGGCCTGCTTTTGGAAACTGTCCCTTGTTTTATGCCTGCATGGCCGTCGAGCTAATTTTACCGTTTCGATAAGTAACTTCATTTATATTCTGTTTTATGGGATTCTTCCTTGGGCTACTCTTGTTCCTCTCCATTAGGCGTTGCCTCGCGTAAAAGGAAATAATGTTTCGGTTGGGTGTCCCAGTTGAAACACCGAAAATTCGAGGGAATGGAGGCTTGTTATTAAAGCTTGAAAGTAACGTTGTTCGCTATGGTACCGACGGGTACTATTTGAAAGCTATTTAAAAAATGTGGAAAAAGTATTTTCAGTTTGAATGTAATGTAGAATCATTCGCGAATGTATCTGTCAACAGTCAGAGTAGCTCGTTATCAGAGTAAATCGTTATAAGGACGTCCGAATGAAAATGTTACGACAGGGTACATCCGGCGAATCGGATCTGTTTGACAAAGAAGAGATAAAACTGCTTAACCGTTAATAATGAAAAGGTAACAGAAGAATTTTCAAACCTTTTCGATCCGATTTGCCTCGGTCTACATCGCAAGCTTTCGCTAAACTGACTGCGCCGCCTTATTCCCAAGGAATCGCGTGTCCCAGACAATTAATCGATAGTTCGATCGCCGTGACAACAAATGGAAAAGCGAAGTTTCATCCGTGCGAGTTTCGATCTCCTTCCGGCCGGCGCGGACGGTTCCATCGATTCGACGAAAGGAACGAAAGGGTGGCTCGTAATTCCCGTCCCGCCGTAAATCGCCCCGGGGAAATGGAGGACTCCCACGGAAAAGTGTTTCAAATGGAGCATCGGCTCTTTCTTCGCGAACTTGTTCGCCGCGAGAAAATTTGCAGCTGAACGCCTCCCGTCCGAAATTACAGCCGCCAGTGACTCGGCGCTGTCTACACGGGGGAAATATACCAGGCCGGGTCCCTATGATCCGTGAAATCATAGCTCTGCATCCATTCATCCGCGAATTAAAGCTTTTCTTGCCTATTTCTACGCGCAGAAGCTTTCCCTTCGAATCGTTAACGTAACACATCAAATTCCACCGTAACCAAGTTAAGTGATTATAAAATAGAGGTGAACAAGTTCGACGTAATTTGTTAGTGGAAATAGGAAAATTGCACAATATAAGGGTCAATATCATGTTGAATTTGAAATACTGAATTTTGAATCAAATGTTTGAGCCGGTCATTTGAGTCGTGGTACATTGAGGGTTAAGAAGATTCATACTTTAAAAACAGTATGAATATTCAGAAGAAAATCTATTCTATTTTCTTCCTACGGTAACAAATGATAATTTCTCTCTATTTCAGACTGCATTGCAAAGGAGAAACGCTGGTACGTGGATGTCGACTACGGCCGGCGCCGATATTGAAAGGGTCACTGTTTCTCGCGTGTTATTGCGGTCATCATCGGGCTCACCTGAGCTGCAACCATGCCCTCCTTCAATCTTCTGAGGTCCGTGTGGCTCCAGGCGCTGCGGGACCAAGGATGGGTGTCCCTCAAGTCATCAAACCTGAACTCCCTCAGCTGATTCTTCAGGAACTTGCGTATGTTCCACGGAAGATCGTTGTGCCTGCAGCAAACCAAGAGAACCGTCGGTTAGATTATGTTTGTAGGATTCCATTCTACAATGGGGGCGGCGGAAATTGCGCCACGTGTTTCTTATTCATGTATCGCTTTAACAGTAACCTTCTGTGTTATTGGCTTTCAAAAATTTCATTCAACCAATCTCTTTGGAAGATTTCTTTCATCGAAATTCTGTTTCATGAAAACCGTTTCCCGATTTAACCGTTTTAATCGATTAAACTCTATAATTTTGAAGTCCATTTAAACCATCGACTCGAAATCAATTGAAAAAAGTGCACACTCTCGTTGTTCTCGACATTTTCCGAGGTGGCACTTTCGATCAAGACAGAATCCTCCGCCATAAAGCGCTACATACGAGCGCAAACACGTCCTGGAAGGCTATCGATCCATCGAATGGTCGGAGGAGATCGTGAAATAGTGTGTTCCGAAGTTGAGTGGCCGGGAGCGGACGGGGGAAAAGAAGGGAAGCTGGACACGGGTAAACTTTGTCCACACAGTGGCATTAGCCGGTGTCCGCGAGCTCTGGCAGCGGTTCGGTTGTATCGCCCGAGGTCAGCCCAAGTTATTTCGTTCGAGTTCCTTGATTTCTTTCGCGGGGATTTGTGCGCGCGGAACGCTGGGCAAATATTGTCCGCCGGTTTCGCCGGAACGAGCGTCAACATTGTTAGCGGGACGCGGACGGGATCCGCGAAAGAAATCCTCCCGCGAGAGCGCCATGTAAATCCCTGTGTTTGTGACGCACGCCGGAAGAGAACAGTGGATGCGTATAAATATTAGCACGCCGAGCGTTATTTGCTCGCCGCTGACGGGATGCCGATTATTGCGCGCAGCGTTGCTGCGTCTCGCGTCGGAAGGGACCCGTTCCGTCGCGCCGGCCCGCGAACGGCGAATTTTGATCGCGACGGAGCGGATAGAAGGATATAGAGCGCGGCTGGGCTCTAGAGTTCAAGTTTTGATTGGAGTGGTTAAATTGCAAGACTTGGATTATCTTGGAACACGTAGGTCTCGGTTTATCACGCTCGACAGAGATTTCGTTCGGTTGTCTAAGAGTTGCGCAATCGGCAAATGTCTGCGTCGATTTTCGTCGAAGCAGTTATAGAAATATGCATTCTAATTGCCTGTTTTTAAACCTCTTTCGAGATCTTAATGGGTGAATATCAATCATTCTAGGAACAGTAGAATAAATACGATTAACGTCCGTGAAGGTAGCGTTAAAAACTTCAAGTGTATTCGAGGTTTAACGAGTTTCTATAATTCTTGACCCGTTCCTCGCTCAATCCCGCGAGCAACAACTTCAGAGCAAAGTGGCGCTGAAGAGGGCGAAATCGTTCTGGCGACGGTAATTCATTTCGAAAACAATTATCCGTATCCAAAACTATTCGCGGGAAAGACGGGCCCGCGCCGCTTACGAGAATCGTCGCCGACGTTAAGACCCGGTATTCCCATTTACGCCGCGAAATAATTTCATTCGGAAGTGTAACTCAGCCCCGAGATGCTCCGCACTAATGCGCGACAAAGTCCGCTAGAGCTGGAAGACGAACGTGCCGGAGCGGGACGCATCTACGAGCCAAGAAAGTTTTAGCCTCGGTGAGAGGCATTAGCCGACGTCTAACTTGCCTCGTAGTTCCCCGGCGCCGGGGTCTCGTGTCTCGTGTCGCCTCGCGTCGCGTTCAGCCTCGCAGTTTCCTTATTCCGTGTTAATTCGGCCGTTGCCGTGCGCGACGCGGGTATCTTGATCTCCGGTAGCAATCGATGCGACCGTGCGTCGAGATAAAACTGGAGTCGCTTTAAGTTACATTCAACGCAGCATTATCTCTAGCAACGTAATGGAGGCGTGTGTTCGCTTTAATGCGGCGGCGTTAAGCTTATTCAAATTAAACATTAACGCATTCAGGGCGAATGCAAATTATAATTCCCCGGAGCGAATCCAGCGGTCGCCTTGGAGACTCTAGTATCGCCTTGGGAAGTACAGTCTTGGGAATTGCAGTATCATCATGGGAAATAGTCTTGGGGCCTACAGTATCGTCTAGGACTTGCAGTGTCACTTAGTGCCTTGACTATCGTGTTGCGACCTACTGTATTGTCTTGGGAACTATATCACCTAGTTTCTCGTGTTGGGAGCTACAGTACCGCCAAGGAATTGCAATACCATCTTGGCAAATAGTCCTGGGACCTAAAGTATCGTCTAAGACTTACAGTATCACCTGGTCGCCTCGACTATCGTGTCGCGACCTACAGTATTGTCTTAAGAACTATACTTGTTCACCTAGTTTCTCGGGTTAGAATCCACAACACCGCCGTGGGAACCGCAGTATCGTCTTCAGAATTACAGGACCACCTGGCTACCTAGATTATCGTTTAGACACCCAGAGTATCGTCTCGGCAATTACAGTATCGCCCAAGAACAACAGCAGCGCCGTAACCTACCATTAAAAACAGAGATTCGCTCAGTTCGCCGGCTAAGCCCTCATCCGTGCTAACCGTGTCAACCAACCGTTTACTATAATTAACCATTACTTGAATTCACCGCCCATAACGGCCATACAGTAAACAGGAATGCTTCGAACCGCAACGGGAAAAATAAAAGGAACCAGCGGAAACGGTTAGTTTAACCGAAACGACGGCAATTAAGCGACTCGCTGCGGTTACGAGGCGCCCGCGTCGCGTTTCCGCACCGTAGTTCGGCAACCGTGTTCCGCCGGCAGCCAGTTAGGGGACGGGATAATTCTAAGCACGCGTCGCGTCCCAGCCGCGCTTTATTTCGTCCGCGACGCGCGAATTAACCCGCAGCGACGCGGGAACGCGCACAGACAATTTGAATAATCGTGCTCTTGGCGACGGATGACGCGCGGGATAACGCGACCGGGAAAGTCCCCGGCCCGGGCGCCTCGCGACGTCGACGAATGGCTAATTGAGCGGGACGCGTGCGAGCGCTGCTGCGTCGCGTTTCCTGATAGCGTCGCGATTACACGACGCCGCGCAATTACTCCGGGAAACTTGCGACTGCGACTCGCCGGCCGCCCGAAAGTTCGTCCCCGTTCGTCGCCGGCGCGGGAACTTTAAACGCTTCCATGCGCCCCGCACACTTGGAATACCGCCGGGAGTTTCGCACGGGAACTCGGTGCTCGTAGTTGTAAGGGGGATCTGATTTTCTACGGCGCGTCGCGCCGAGTGTACTAATATATTTGTCTAAGATATGCTAATTCCGGGTAATATATACTTAGACGCGACGTTCCACGCGCAAACTTTGAGGCGGCTAGACCATGGATCCTCGCGTAGGTGCGCGCGTATCGAGGCCTTTGTGTTGCTGTTGTAATCAACTGGAAAGTTATGCCTCATATTGTGGTATCTTGTAAATATAGGATCTTGTAAACATAGCTTTTGACGTAGCTTTTCGATGTAAACTCCTATCGAAGAGAAGCCTGCATTGAGAGGACTGTTTTAGGGTATAAGGTCGATTGGCCTACGTGATGAAGTTTGTCTAATTATTATCAGAGTCGCAATTGAAGAGAGACAGAATTGTTATTAGTAAAGTCATTGTTATTTATTAGTGAGAATTGTTTTGCTGTTCTTTAGTTCTAATTGCTGATAGTTCTGCCTTGTATATAATTAGTCATAGTATATTACGTTTTTGATACGCAATCGTATCTGCACAGTATCGCTAATTTTATTCGCTTGTAACGAGATGAGGGATCGATGAATAAGTTACGGCCGCGTTTTATCGCGTTCGTCGTATTTTCATGAATAATAAACGCATCGAGTTTGATGTTTAGAAACGACCATGCGTGTAAATATCTCTATATAGCGTATTTCGCGACGGTGATGTATATTCGGGGCGTAGTTGTTTTATGGATTCGAAAAACCAACGCGAAACTGCCGAGTGAAATTTTATTTTTCACCGAATGATCGCATTGGCGAAGCCCTATTCCGTGGCACGCGGATCCGACCAAAATTGGATGCCATATTTTTTTCGAAGACGAGGCGAATTTATTTCATTTCATATTTTCCATGTATTTTTCTATCGCGAATCTTTGACGTTTAACTCGCCCCGGGAATGATGAAACACTGCGTTTTTCGCGACGAGGATTTCACGCGTTTTTCGAAGCACGAGAAGCATGTCGCTTTTCGAAAGTATTTTATGAAACGTTATTTCACGGTAAACGGTACGCGATCAAATATATTTTTATCAAATTGCTGGAAATATAGGAACGCGTGCACTTCGAACGGTACATTTGATTTATTCCGCGATCGCGTCACGTGATCAGTGATCCAATATGGCCGCCAGTGCGGAGCTAGTGACGCGCGTTCCCGCCAGGAAGTGCGTAAAGTGCGCGAAAGTGTTGGTCTGGAAGGTTCGCTCCCAGTTGCAGTGATAGAATAAGCGTCATTGTTGATCATAAGTCTTGTAAATTGGTATATAATTGTGTCCTATCATTCCTTATCACATCATTAAAGCGTGAGAGAGTTAGATTGCATTGATAATTGCTGTGAGAGTGAATGTGAGCGTATGAAAATTCCTAACCTCTTCCAACGTAACTTTACCAGTACCCTACCGACCAGTCGAAGGTATGCATCACTATTTCCAACATTTCCTTTACATAATACTGAACCTATTCATGTATCCTTTACCAATAAGACTCTAAACATCGAATACTCGACATATCTACAAACCATAACCACGGAAATGTTCTCAGTTTAGTAATAACCTGAAAATAACGGTCCAATTCAACTCAGCGAATTGATCCACGCCATAATGGCACCCGGAATGGGAATCTCTAAACGTTTGTCCCTTTATTTGTACAACGAATTCGGTTGTCCCCCAACAATACTCGTTAATTCTCCGGTGCCCCATTGTTCCCCATGAATATCCGAAACCCGTGGACTCTTTGTATCCATTGGTCGTGGCGTAATTATCGAATCCGTTATGAAAATATGCCACTAATTTCGAGGCGGGCTCTCGGCCGGAAATGGTGAAAGGATCAGGGG